TCCTTGACCCATTGACTTCTGGGATTTGTAGTCACTTGTACACCTGCATGGTGTAGGGATTCCTGAGAAACTACCCTCCATGCAGGCAAGCAGGCTGTGTCCTGAATCTTCCCATCTTTTCTCTAGAGAAGATTCTGGGGATTCAAAGCTCCAGCAAGTTGTGACTTTGGGTTAGCAACACAACTCCTTATGAACTAGGAGTTCAAATATCCCTTTTTAAGCATCAGTTACATTTCTATTTTTTTTTAAATTTTCTCCTTTTCTGGTAAGATAATGATAAAAAAATCTATCCATTAAAATACAATTGTATTTATTAATATAAAATTTTCAAATACTTGTAATAATTCTGAAATTTTGGAAAAACATTATAAAACTCTGTTTCATTTCAAAATAACTTCTATGAAAGACACGCCAGCAGTCATTGATATCATATGTGACAACTTTTTCACCTAACTCAGCTCTTTATTTTCTTAATGAAAGTCAGGAAATAACTGTGAAAGTGTAGATGCATTTATTTATGATCTTGATGAAAATAATATCAATGGCCCATCTAAATTATTGCCAAAACATAAAAAAATACAATTTGTACTCTATTAAAATCACAGTTAACGGAAGAAACAAAAAAAATTTTACACTATCCTACTTATGTGTTGTCATGGCTATTTGGGCTATTGTTGAATTAACTGATTTATGTTATGGCAAAAATGTGTTCTAACTAAAGATATGAAACTATAAAACAGTTTCAAATTAGGCAATTTTTTTAACATTCAAAAATAATTACAGTTTAAATCTACCATCACAAAAGAATTTCTATTCCCCAGTTTCTATGTTCCTACCTATAGGCTCAGGACCCAGTTAGTCTCAGCCTGGCTTGAGATTTTAGAAATTTAGCATGGAAATACCTCTGAGTTATCTTTACCTGCTCCTTAATATTTCCCGATGACTGCATTACAAGCCAACCTTGCAATTACTTTGATTCTGATAAAAGAGCTCTTGCTTGCACTCCACATGTCCCAATTCTGACCCTTTCTAAAGCTCGTTTTCCTATAAAGTAATTTTTGATACCATGGAGATTGTTATTTCTAGAGTTTCATCCTCCATTTTCTCATGTGATTGACCTATATTTTGCTTAACCTAAAACACTGAAATTGTAAAACTAGGTAAGTTAAACTGAGCTTTTTGATGTCAAATAGATCGACTTTTCTTTTGAAATTGAATAAATCACTGACCCCAAAGATATTCTTTGCTTCCACTCATTTCTCAGCTCATAATGATAAAATATAACTCTTAAAGTTAGGCATTATTAAAAAAATAAGTATAGACTTCCATATCATTGCATATATAATGAAACAGAGAATTTATTTTGCCTCATTATCTTCCAATAATTTTCTGTAATTATATCAAAGGACATAATAGTAGCAAATTATTTCTTTAAGAAAAATAGAGATTAAGTCAAATGCTGGTTCTTAGGAGTTCAGGGATCATTTCTAAAATTGTGTTTCATGGAAAGATGTCACAAAGTAAGATGGAGAATATTAAAATGAGACAAATAGTTGCTACTTTTCAGGAAATTGTCCAATAGCTAAGTAGTTTCCATTGCTTCATGAATATACTATTGGTTATTTTCAGGACTATTTGTGTGTGATGGCCTCAGCTCTGGAATAGACTGAGAAAATTCTTTATTATATGTTTTATCAATAGTCATTCAATCAACATTGATGAACATAAAAATCATCTGGGGTAATAGAAGAGTTACATAAAACTGGACCCTATCCTGGATATAATTGGGCAATATTAAGTCAGTTTTCCTACTGGAGGGACTCAATTATTAGCAAATATAAAAAGGCTCCTCCCAGCTTTACTGAATCAGAACCTGCATTTTAATAAGATCCTCAAGTAGTTTTTTTATGTGCATAATGTGCTAGACTATTATAATAATGGCACCATACGTATTACCTAAGGCAAACAGAATTGTGTTAGAAGTATTCAAAATGTATATAATGCACACCAACTCAAAAATGTATAAAAATGATTTATTATTTTAATTAATGGGTGGATTTCAACCTATATTATTGTGGTAAATTAGGATCAAGGTTTTCTGGGTAGTCAGAAATGCAAGTTTACAATAAATGGCTTGAGAATTAACCAAAAACAAAGACAAATGTGGCTTGAAAAGTAACTGATATTGCTACAACATACTATTTTAAAATCACAAAAATCTAAGTCTTAGTTTTTTATAAGGTCAGATGTGAGGGAGTAGTAAACACTCAAGAATCAAGTAGAAGGTAATTATTCCTTAAAAAAAATTAAAGGATAACAAAATATCTAACTCATTGCTATTGAGTTTATTCTAACTCATAGCAGCCCTCTGTCAGATTTCTGAGGCTGTATGTCATAATGGAAGGAGATTGCTCATCTTTCTGCTGCTGCTCAGTTTGTGGTTGAGACTCACTGTTGTTGTTGTTGTTGTTAAGTGCCTTCGAGTCGCAGGTGACTCATAGCGACCAATGAAGGAGAGTCCTCAACACTTGGGTGCCTTTCATCCTCTCTCCAGGTTCATAGGGTTTCTGGAGGCAAGCTATTATGGAAGTGGATGCCACTCCTCCTTCCAATGATACTCACTAGCTGCTAAAAAAAACTAAAACTCAAGTTTAAATAAAAATAGACTCCTAGCCTACCCTCCAGTGAGTTTTCAAGGCCATAAATCCCAGGAGAAAGTATTTCCCATCTTTCTCCCACAGAGCCTCTGATGGATTTGAATCCTCAAAGAGCTGCAAATTTTAGATTAACTATGTAAGTCCCTTTAGACTAAGCCACCAGTACTTCCACCAGCTGCTAGGAGAATGATGAGGTATTCCACTTCCATAAAAGATTACAGTGGAGACAATAGAAGAAGAATCTTTATATTGATATGCCCAGCATTTATCTCTATGGGTATTAGCTTTCTTTCCCATGCAGCAGTGTAGAAACATAATTGTCACAATTGGACTACCATATGAGTGTCACAGAGGTTAAGGTAAATCAGCTGCAACTGGACAAACACATCACATAGAAGTGTTTTGTTTGCCATGATCATGCTTGGTTCATTTGTTGTTGTTTAATTTAAATGTTTTTCTAGTCACACTGAAATATTCAATTTTGGTATCTCAACCAATTCCCTGTTCAGAGACACAGGAAGGACTGCTCATTTTTCATCTTAAAAACAGCTGGTGGATTTGAAATACCTGTTTTTGGGGGTTGGCAGCATAATTACTTATCTACTCAACCACCAGAGCTCCTTGATGTCTGTTGTAAAACCGGGAATTTCCATCCTTAAACTGTAAATTAATTTACCAGCCATCTATTAATCCACAATTCTGACCCTGAGTTCTCCTGAGCCAGAAACTAGCTAGAGTGGTCAGTCATGACTTCATAGTGAGTCTCCATTGGGTTTCTGAGGCTGGAATATATGGCAGGAAGAGATTACCTATCTTTCTCTCATATAGCCATTTGTAGATTTTATTTGGATTAGTGATAAAAATCACTATGGATTAAGCCACTTCTAATAAATCTGATCAAAATACAACCAGTAGCCTCATTGCTATCCAGGAGTTAGGAAGAATTAATAGAAAGTCCCTTTGATTAGGGACTGTTTTACATAAGTTAAGGTTGTTGTTGTTGTTGATGTTGTTGTTATCTGCCTTGCGGCTCATAACGACTCTATGTATAACATTCCTAAACTCTGTCCTGTGCCAATTGCACCATCTCTGATACACCCATCCCAATTACCCCAGTCACTAAATCAATCCACCTCATAGGGGGCCTCCCCTTCTGCGCTGTCCCTCCACCCTCCCAAGCATGATGTCCCTCTCCAAGGAACTGTCCCCCCTTGCAACATGTCCAAAGTATGTTAGACGGAGCCTCAGAATCCATGCCTCCAAGGAGCAGCCTGGTTTGACCCTTTCTAGGATGAATCTGATTGTTTTTCTAGCAGTCCATGGTACCATCAATACTCTTCTCCAATACCACAGCTCAAAGGCATCAATTCTCCTTCTATCCTCCTTAGTCATTGTCCAACTCTTGATGCATAACAAGTGATAGCAAAGACCATGGCCTGTATCAGATGTGCCTTAGTCTCCAAAGAGACACCATTGCTCTTCAGTAATTTGGAGAGGTCCTTAACAGCAGGCTTTCCCAGGGCAATATGTCTTCTAATTTCCTGGCTACTGGTGCCAAGAGTGTTAACTGTGGAGCCAAGCAAACTGAAGCTGTGAACAATCTCAATCTCTTTACCATCCATCCTGATGCTGCCAATTGGCCCAGTGGTGAGAAACTTTGTCTTCTTGACATTGAGCCTCAATCCATATTGAAGGCTGCAGTCCTTGACCCTCTGCAGCAGGTGCTTCAGGTCCTCTTCATTTTCAGCAAGCAGGGTTGTGTCATCTGCATAACGCTGATTGTTAATAGATCTTCCACCAATCTTGAACCCACATTTCTCCTCATAGAGCCCAGCCTCCTGGATAATCTCTCTGCATACAGGTTGAAAAGGTATGGAGATAGGACGCATCCCTGGCATATGCCCTTCCCAATTTTGAACCATGCATTGTTTCCTTGCTCTGTTCTGAAAACTGCCTCTTGATCCCAGTATAGGTTTCTCAAGTGTTCTGGGATTCTTATTTTACTCAGAGTCAGCCACAGTTTGTTATGATCCACACTGTCAAACGCCTTTGCATAGTCATTGGAACACAGATATACATTCCTTCGGTATTCCCTGCTTTCAGCTAAGATACATCTAAAATTAGCTACAATATCCCTAGTACCACGACCCCTTCTAAACCCAGACGGCACTTCTGGAAGTTCTCTGCTGATGAGCTGTTTTAGTTGTTTTTGGATAATCTTCAGTAGAATCTTGCTTGCATGTGAAATTAAGGTATGTAAATTAAGGTATGTTTCCTAAATATTCATCCTCCATCGAAAAAAAAACCCCAGACCTGACATCTTAATCTTTTTTTAACAAACAGGATTGGTGCAGATGGTGCCTGATGCTGTAACTCTAGCAAAGATCCACCGTCACTCTGGACTTATAGGACCACTGAAAGAAAATACAATCAAAAAGTGGTTCACTCAGCACAACCCTTTAAGGGCAGACTATGAAAAGGTTTGTCTTTCTGTCTCTAATTTTAAGTAATGTACTTTAATAAGAAAATGATCTAGTTTATTAGCTATTCTGATTTATGGAAAAATAAATTAAATATACATTGAATTCTAACTTACTCAGTCATCAGCCTAGTTGATAATGATGCTGTTTTAATGGGATATTAACTAGTAGAAGCCAGCCATTCTATAAGACCTATAATCTTGAGCCAACAATGAACTCATCATTAACTGGAGACCAACTTGAATGGAAGAGATTTTGTGGACAAAGAATACTGCTTTTGGCAAGAAGCCTTTGTTCATTAAATAAACAAAAAACATAATTTCTCTTAGCGGTAACCTGATTTTACCCAAAAAAAGTATTTTACTGATTTGTATAGTAGAAAACTATTTTTGTTATCACTTAAATTTTGTTTGCAGCAATAAACATTAAATATCATCTATATATCCATACAGCCTTTTTATACCAAGATTGATTTCGTAGCTAACAATAAAATATTTCAGATTTTATATGAAGATAAAATTGGGTCTTATTTTTTCTCCTTTGCTTTGGAAAAAAGTTCATTCAGTATTGTATATATTTCAGGCAAAATTAAAGCTGTGCTAGAAATCATCTCTCGTATACCATGAAAATTAGCTCCATTCGAATAAGAAACTTATGTCCCTCAGTTTTAGTGGAAACATTTATCTATATTTTCTTTTTAAAATTTTTACTATTACCTGTGATGCACATTTATTTTTCTCATTTGTGTTTTTGTGTTGTTATGTTTTTTCAAATGCTTAGGCATTGAACAACTTTTTCTATTCCTGTGCTGGCTGGTGTGTGGTCACTTTTATCCTGGGAGTCTGTGATCGTCACAATGACAATATTATGCTGACAAAATCAGGCCACATGTTTCATATTGACTTTGGAAAATTCTTAGGTCATGCACAAACATTTGGAGGGATAAAAAGGTCAGTACACAAATAATGTTCATTACAGTAATTAAGCAATATCCTAAAGCAATATATTACATGTAATGGCATAAAAATCTTACGGATGACTTGTTTCTCATCTCTCTAATACCCAAAGGTACCATAAACATGATTTTATATCCAATAATATTGAATGAGTTTTTTTCCGATAGATTCTTAATGGAACAAAATGTTTTTCCTCAAATAGTTAATGATAGTATTTTTTCCCCATGAGATACTAATTATGTTCCTGTCTGAGTTGTTTGAAATAATATTTTTGTTTGGTTTGTTTTCTTATAGACTTTTGAATAAACAATGAAGCATGTGTTGATGATCTCAATGCATTTAGTATATGAACCTAGCAAAACAACTCCATACACACACACACACACACACACACGTGTGTGTGTGTGTGTGTGTACATATCTATCTATCTCTATCTCTATCTATATATATCTTGTAAAACTAGCACACTTCTCATTCTGGATTAGCCCTGAATTATTCTACAAATATTTAGTGAGCAATTCCCTTCAAATTACTAAGGGAATAGCAGCAATCAAGACAGATAAAACTTCTTCATTGGTATACAATTAAGAAGCTTATCTTTTGCTTTTCAAAGACAGGAGCAAACTGAGGGGAAGGGGTAAAGAAAAAAGTACAACAATGAATGAATGAAAATCCAAAATTTGTGAATGTTCATTAAAATTAATAAAATAAAATTTTAACAAAAATTTAAAAAGAAAAAATTTTCACAATAAAAAAAAGAAAGATAAGACTCCAAACTATTTCTAATAGAGAAGACAAACGTTAAACAAAGTAGCAAGAAATAAAACAATCTGAGGAAAGGTCTACAAAGCAAAAGGATGGCTGTGGTATAAATGCCACTTTAAAGAAGCCATTTTGTAAAGAGAGAATCATGTAATGAGTGGTCACCTGATACAATGAGATCATAGAGAAGAGTATTACAAGAGAAAAGCAAATACAATGGCCATGAGCAGGGAAATAAGCATTGTTTCCTCCAGTTACAAACAGAAGGCTCAGGTTCTGGATGTGAAGAAGGAGTGGCAGGCAGTAGGAGATAAAGGTGAAGTGTTTGATGGAGGTCACTAAATAGATCTTTAAAGGTCACAGAATAATAATTGGCTTTTAAGTCTAAATTGAAACTAATAACAGACTTCAGTGGGCCTCAAAAAAACTCTATCCTATTGTTCTATGAAGTTGAGAAACTCATTAGAAGGATACTAAAAGTGTCAAATGGCATAATGATTACCCATTTTGAACAGTGTTTTGTAGAGGTCCCGATTTAAGACAGGTTTGCAAGCAGGAGTGGCATCTACTTCCTAAATAACATGCCTCTGGAAATTCTATGAACTTTGAGAAACAATGATAGTTATAAAAAGGCTTCAGGTCTTTTGTTCACAGGGTCGCTATGAGTCATGCTCAACCTGATGGCAATCAATAGTAACAAAATAATTGTTAGGGTCTTTCACGATATAGGGAGAAATGATGAAACTTATCAGATGCAGAATATATCTAATGGAGAGCCACAGGACCTGTTGATTGACTAGATAATGAATAATGGGGTTGGAGGCAGAGAGGGAAAAAGATATAAGCAGGAGAAGAAAATATTTAAGATGATTCTTAAGTGTTTGAATTTAGCAAATGGGTAGATAATTATATCGGTTTTTAGAACGTTCTATACTTGTGGATGAATGGGGTTTTAGTTATTTGAGTGGATGTACGATTAGGTGCTGTCAAGTAGATGCCAATTCATAACAAGACTGTGTACAACAGAATTAAATACTATCCGGTCCTGTACTATTCTCACATTACTGCTATACAGTCCATTGTTGCAGCCACTGTCTCAGTGCATCTCATTAATGATTGTCCCTTCCCCTCCACCCCAACCCTTGATTTACTGAACATGATGTCCTTCTACAATGTCTGTTCCCTTTTGGTAGCATGTCCAAAGTTCTTGAGACAAAGTCACGCCAACCTTGCTTCTAGGGAGCATTCTGGCTAAACTTCCACAACAGATATGATATATTCCATATTCTTCACTAACACCATAATTAAAATGCATCAATTATTCTTGAGTCTTCGTTATGCATTCACCACTTTCATATGTATGTGAGGCAATTAAAATATCACAGCTGGAGTCAGGTGTAACTTAGGACTCAAACTGCAATCGTTGCTTTTTAACGCTTTAAAAAAGTCTTTTGGAGTTAATTTGTCCAGTCAATTGTCTCCATCGATAAGTATCTTAGTAAAAATCATACCTACTCATTTATCTCTTAAATATCTATTAAAGATGGTGTGTGTCAAGCATTATAGACACAAAAATGAGCAAAACACATTTCCTATTTCACTTATTCTTTCTTGAGAGTATTAAGGAAAATGACATTAAGCAATGACTACAAAACATACTATGTATAGAACAATCCAACATCCTAGAGGAGGTAGTACTAACTTATGAAAGACAAACTGTTACTTTCTAGATTTAAGCATATAAATTATTTACTTATATATGCCTTTTCCCTTTGAAATGTACTATTTCCTAGATATTTAATAATTAAGTTTCTACTGTTGTTATGTGTCATCAAGTCAGACCTGACCCCATAGTTCACCCTCCAGCAGGTTTTCAGAGGCAGTTAATCTCACAAGAGGAATTGTTCATCTTTCTCCAAGGAGCAGCTAGTGGATTCAAACCACGTTCGGGATTGCAGTGCTGCCTTTTACAACTAGGCCACCAGAGTTCCCCTAGGAAGTGTTTTTATCATCCTGAATTTTCTTCTGGGAATTGAGAAAGCCCTCATTCAGTCATTAATTCATACCATCAACATCTGAGTTGACCATGCAGGTGGATAAATATGAGCACTAACATATCCCAATCCTAAAGAAAGAATTTAAATCAATTTTAGAAAAACTCAAATGTATAAAAATGTACCCATATAGGGACTTTACCTATTGTCAATCAGTCAGTCATTTCCAAACAAGTCAGAATTGACTTATTGTTGATCCTCCAGCAGATTTTCAGAGACTATATATTGCACAGAAGGAGATTGTCTATTTCTTTAATGTTTTTTTTTTTCTCCCATGGAGTGCTGGTGGATTCAAACCAATAAAATTCAAATGAATAAAATCTTCTACTCACTAGGACATCAGAGCTCCCACTGAGTTCACTGTCAATAAAACAATTACAGATGCACCCTCAGTCATTTAAAAATTATCGATTGGTTGAGAGAGAGAGATCACAATTCTAGCTTTATGAACATTTGAATTTTTATTTCCAGGATTTTTAATCTACCCATGACTTATGTAAAGTTCATTGGAAGTATATCCTTTTCTTTCTTTCTAGTTACTATTACTTTTTACCTTAGTGTGTTTAATGTTTAAGTCGAATTACACCTGCCCTTTGTGTCTATTGGATTTCAGGCAACTGTGGCCAGAGTTCACCTCATGTTGTTCCCTAGGACGGCTAACTTCCTCCATACCAAGTCCGTTGGTTGTTCTTGATTGCCGGATACACAAAACCCCCTTATTTTAAATAAGAATGCTCCATTTTTCCAAGATAAACAAATGTTCTAATTTTTATCACAATGACTATATTATAGACCTGATTTTTGGAGGAAAACCCACTTCTACATTTCTTATATGCATGTCTCAGCACAATTCTTCATAGCCATTGATTGAGATAGAACTAATAGTTGTTAACCTTTCATTAGGTTGCTGAAGAAAGAAATTGCTTTGGAGGGGGTTGCCTGTCTTTCTCCAGCAAAGCTGCTGGTGGATTCCAATCACAAAAGAAGTACTACCTTTGGGTTAGCAGCACAACTCGCTGCAGACTACCTCCTCAGAGCTCCACTATATACATGTGCTCAGACATATTAATAAAGTTTTATAATATTTAAAACCAAGGATGTCAATCATGCCCTAGCAGTGTCCTTCATCTCCAATAGACTAGCAAGGACATTTAAAAATTCAAAAATAACCTATAATCATGCATGTTAATATAAACATGCTGTATACACAAGCATGTTGGTAAGTACTCTGAAGCTACTATGACTCGTCTCGTAGCAACTCTAAGAACATTGTATCTGATATCCTGTGCCAATCTCATCATCTCTGACACACTTGAGCCTAGTACTACAGTCACTGTGTCAATTCATTTTGTTGGGAGTGTTCCTCTCCTTCAGTGACTCTCTACTTTCCCAAGCATGTTGTCTTTTAGCCCCTTCTAACAATATGTCCAGTATATATATCAGATGAAGTTTCACTATGGTTGCCACTATGGAGTATCTTGACTACACCTTTTCAAGACATACTTCTCTGTGCTTTTTGCATACCATGGGATAGTCAACACTCTTCTCCAGGATGACAACTCAAAGGCATCAATTCTTTTTCTGTCATTGTTATTCATTGTCCAGCTCTTAGATGCATTCCAAGGGATTAAAAAAGATCATGGCCTGAATCACTTTAATCTTCTAACTGATATTTTTACTGTTCATCACTTTGAAGGTCTCTGATATCAGACTGTCCCAAAGAAAATACATCTTTTGTTTTCCTGACTACTGGTGCCAAAGGTATTGACCATGGATCAAAACAAGATAAAGCCATTGACAGTTTCTATTTCTTCCCTATCATAGTTTTAATTATTTGTTCTATGGTGGAGATATTTTGCTCTCTTGATGTTAAGAAGTAGCTCATATTGAAGGTCTTTGATCTTCTTCAGTAACCATCTCAAGCCCTCCTCTCTTCCACCAAGTAAGGATAATGGAGGTTGTTCATGAATCTTCCTCCAATCCTGATGCCACATTTTTCTTCCTATAGTCCAGTTTATTGAATGATTTGTTCTGCATACAGATTGAATGGGTATGGAGAAAGGATACATTTCTGACACATATCTTTTCTGATTTTAAACCATGTAGTGTTCTATTTCTCTGTTCATATAGCAGCTTCTTGCTCGGAGTATAGGTTTCATATGACTATAATTAAATGTT